AACGGTTTTGCGTCACGGTGGGAAACAAAGACAGCCCCCCTCCTCCTCCAGCACGGTACCAATGCACCCCCTTGGTGAGTGAAGGGGACATGTGGGGCATACAGGAACTCGTTACATGGCCACAACAAAGAAAAAATAATGATAAAAAACATCCTCGACAACGCAGCAATGTCCAAACAGCAACAGCAACAACACAGGACCAGTGGCCCACCGGCACGTGCAAGTGCCGTCACAATACCCAACGTCCTCACACATGCTAACCCCGTAGCAAATATATATATATATATATAAAGAGCGCATTCTCTCTTCGTTGAGTCCCTTCCTCCTTCGAACAGTAAGAACCTCCCACGCAGTACCGTCCATGCGCTGACACCGTCTCCCGACCAGCGACTGCACAAAAAAGACCCAAATGCCTCAATGGGGTCTCCCATACGGGACCGACAAATCGATGATGCGGCACAGCTGTTCAGGGCACGGTTTGTAACTTCATCCATCACCATAAAGGGAAAACTCATATATTGCAGAGGGCGTTCAATTCCCTGCCCCCACAACAGACGCCACACTGCTCTATCCTTTTACCTCCCACACTGTCCCCCCCTCCCTCCCTCCAAGGAGACAGTCACCAACCCCCCAGATGCCGTGAAAACAAAAATATATACAAAAAGGTGATCCGTTTATTTCCGCGAACAGTACAGAAAACGTGCATGGAGCATTAAAGCACCACAGGCTCGGGACAAACAACTCAGGGCGACAGCCATATAGACGTCCTGGAGATGCACGTGGAATTTCACATCACCCTCTGCGTCCACCATTCCACAAATGGCTTATCCCACCACCAGAAAAAAAAATACGCACAGAAGAAAGTCGTTCGTTCAACGCCCTGCCGTAAGAGCCGACGTGTTTTTCTTCATTTGCCTGTTTGGCACGAGCAGCAAGAAGCAGCCACACAAACAGCACTGCAGGAGTCTGCACTCGATTGAGCCGTCTTAATTCTGCAAGAAAATCCAGTTGCAGACGCAGACAC